TTAGCTTAACTTATACCGCCCGTTATACATTAAACGCGCATTCGTAAACTTATTTTGCGCACGCGCACACACAAATTCGCAGCCGTAAAGGTCTTACGCGCATGCGTCAACGCGACGCATGCGCGGAAAGTTTGTAGCTTTGAGGTCCGGATTATGGGTGTCCGAATTAACGACTTTTGACTGTAATATGGAAGAAATGGCCAAGATATTATCTAAATAATCTTCAGCAGATAGGTAAATGATCCTTTAAACAGGACAATATAAAAATAGGTACTCTTGTATTAAAGAGGATAAACCACCTCTAAGAAGTTGGATAGTAGGTCGTATCAATGATAACATCCCTGGAAGTGATGGTGAAGCCTGTGTTGTTATCAAAACCCCTCAAGGCTTGAGAACATGTGGATAATTTAACATATGTATTTTGCCTACGAATGTCTGAAATAGTGAAACTATTACAATTTGTAGCATTAACTTTGAATGTTTCCCCTATTCAGTTTGCTGAATTGATATATTGCATTTAATTGTTTAGAATCGATATGTATCTAATTTGAATGTCTTAAATTGTGTACATTAGTTTTAAAATTGGTATTTAAACGTTGGGCAGGATGTTGGTGCCTGACAGTATGCTTAAAGAAAACTTTCTCTTTCATCATTATTGCCTAGCAATGAATCCTGTAACATGCATGCACCAATATAGTTTTCTTCTTGATGCATGTTTTGACAGCCTCATGTTTATTTTGCTTTTAAATGGCTGTTAACTGAGCAGTTAGACTGTGAATAAATTAAAGATTAATTAATTATCCAACAACACTGATAGCAGTTTGGTAGATTCCATGAAATCGAAATGTGAAATTTGCCTTTCTGTCAGTGGTGACCATATGACATATTAAAGATATTTGTTGCAAAATATGGTAGTTCATAAATTTGACTTGCATTTCAATATTGTGACATTAATCAATTGGCCAACATGGTATCTTTTATCTTAAATTTTACTTTCGTTAAAATCCTTTTCAATAAATAACAGTTAAGATTAATTTTTATTAATATCTTCTAATATTGATGAGCAGTGAATTTCACATGAAAAAGCAGCCATATGCTGTTTTGAGAAAGTTTACTCCGAACCTAAACTGTAGAAACATAGCAAGCTTGATTTACTTGGTGTGATTTTAAGCGCTAGTTAGTGCATGGAATGGTCTCTCCCAAGAATGACTACAAACTCATTTTGATACACATGCTTTTCTTAAAACTTTCTTGCACACTACCTTTTAAAGTCGAAATTTCGAAAAAAAAAAAAAAGAAGGTAGGCAATCTAATTAGACCCAGAGGAGTAAACAAGTAAAATTTTGCGAATATAGCACTTACTGATTTAATTCTGTGGGCATGCCTGCATGACTGAATAGTGCTGAAATGAGCATTGCTGGGAAGCACATACGAGGCGTATTCGGAAACTAAGTACCGTTTTGAAAAAAATAGTAAAACAATTTTTTCGTACCCAATTTTATTTTTAGATGAAAATACATGTCTTAAACTATTTTTCAACATAGTTTCCGCCAATGATCAAACACTTGTCATAACGGGTGACCAGTTTCTGTATACCATTGTCAAAGAAACTTCCGCCAGTTTTGATAACCACAACTCCACAGCATTTTTCGTGCCATCGTCAGATCCAAAGCGCTTGCCACCAAGCTCGCGCTTCATGTGCAGGAACAAGTGATAGTCAGACGGTGCCAAGTCCGGGCTGTACGGCGGGTGATCGAAATGCTCCCAATGAAACTGTCGAATTAACGATCGAGTCACACCAGCAGTATGGGGCCGAGCATTGTCATGGAGCAACACAATTCCTTTACTGAGCATTCCTCTTCGTTTGTTTTGAATGGCATGCCTTAGTTTTGTTAAAGTCTCACAATATCATGCCGCATTAATGGTTTCACGTCTGGGAAGAAATTCAGTAAGCAAAACGCCTTTCCTATCCCAGAGGACAGTGTACATGATTTTTTGTGATGACATTGTCACTTTGAACTTTAGTTTTTTCGGAGAATGAGTGTGTCTCCACTCCATCGATTGTTATTTCGATTCTGGTGTGAAATGACACACCCAAGTTTCATCACCTGTCACAATTTGGTTTAAAAAGTTTTCACCCTCATCACTGTACCGCGTGAGAAATGTCGGGGCACTACCAAGTCGCTTTGTTTTGCGAACATCAGTGAGCATTTTTGGAACCCACCGGGAACACAGTTTGCGATAATTCAAGCGGTCAGACACAATTTCGAACAGAATAGTACGTGAAATTTGTGGAAATGCCTCTGAAAGAGTTGTCATTGTGAAGCGTCTGTCTTCATGAATTGCTTCATCAACTTTCCTTACCAAATCATCGGTGACAACAAAAGGCCGAGCCTCGGCGTGGACATTTGTTCGACCTGCATTAAACATTCTTACCCACTTTCTCACCATTCCATCACTTATCACGTATTCACCGTAAACTTCTGTCACTTGACGATAAATTTCGGCCGGTTTAACATTCCTCGCGTTCAAAAATTTAATCACGGCACGAGTCTCACAGTCAGTGGGAGAACTAATTGTCTTAAACATTTTGAATGTGCACAGCAAACTGAAAACACAACATAGAGACACCAAAATGGCGACAACTGAAAGTCAGTGAACAAGAAAAACTAGTGCGCATGCACGGGAGACACCTACCACAGCGCTAGAATGAAACGGTACTTAGTTTCCGAATACGCTACGTAATAGAGTTAGAGATTTTGCATAAGATTAAAAAACACTAGATTCTGAATGCTGTAGCATATTGAGCATTACTCAAGGTGTGCCACGGGGAGACCTGCTACTCTACACACCTCCCTTAAAAAGCTCTTTTTTGGTTATATGGTGATTACATGCATATGAATAGGAAAAAAAGTAATACTTGGGTATATATTTACATTTCATATTTACACTTTAGTCTATTTTTTTCATGGTGGTACTTTTTGAAGAAAGTGACACCACCTTTAAAAAACCACAACCCAATACTGCATGTTTTGCACATGCACAGGGATCCGTATTAGTTTCGCTACCTGAAAGCAATTCATGTAGCACTTTCAATGCTTCAGAAATGGTCAGCCCTCTCCAAACTGTTTCGAAAATAATTAAAAATCCGAAAAAAATAAACTAATATTATATCTACAACTAGAAATTATAAACTATAAAATAAAATAAAATTAACGTCTACAACTCAAAACTATTAAACGTAGCACAAGCGAAACTTTGAATGAAAGTGAAAGAGGGGAAAAAAAAAAAAAAACACTGCTCTAGTGAAAAACCAAATAGATAACTGATAAAATTACCCTTGACCTTCAGAAAATCACCCCAACAATTTATTAGTTGATAACCAAATGTCCTCTCCCCCCCCCCAAAAAAAAAGAGAAAGAGAGAAAAGAAGAAAAGAAAAACAGGAAATGAAACACAGATGTGGACCCACCTTTCTGTTGTCAATGAACTGACCAATGAGATGCGGAGAAACAAAGAATACAGTCTCTCAGTTGTCCTAAAGTCTTGGTGAGCCCGCTTTGGGAACACCAGAGGTTCGCCGTTCGACATTAGGGAAGATTTTTAAGGTAAAAATTTAAAACTAATATAGAATAAGAAGATTAGCATACAACCAAAAACATAAAAGAAATTTCTTTTCAAACAATTCTTTTTATACTCCTTAAAAAAAAGGGGGTACGGGGAAGATTTTTTTGAAAAATGAGGGTCTTGAAAAACTAAACATGGCTAAAATGTATGGATTGGTTTATGTTGAGTTGCCATCTACTATAAATAAAGAAGGTTCAGAGTACCTAAAAATCCTTTTTAGTTCAATTTTTCTGTGCATACAGAAGGAAATTTTTAGGTGTGCCCCGACCGGCATACCATGCCACAAAGGGTTAAAGCAGCTGGAAGACAAGAAATCTTTGAGAAAAGTGCTAATAAGAAAGCCTGAATGCAAAAATTTTGCCAGGTATATCTAGAAGTTCACAAAAACCACAGTTTTGCAGACTGTAGAGTTTGTTACAGTCTTGTTTTGTTCTGAAGTACTTGTTTTTGACTGTAGAGAGAATATATAATGAAGTGCATAAAAAACATTTGACAATAAAGTTAATGAATTTTCATATATGAATGCATAGAGTCACAGCTATCCCAAGACCTAAAATTTAGCTCTAAAAAATCAAAGTATTATCAAAGCATACAAAATTTGGTGATATTATGAAGTCTCTAAGAAATACAGAAGTGTGTAACTAGATTTTTTTTCGGTTAGTATTTCCAACTTTATAAAATAATTTTGGTTATTATAACTAAAATTGGTAGCTGTGGCCAATATTGTCAACATTCCCCGTTATAACATGCTCTTTTAATCATGTGCTCAGTTCATAATGTTAGGTTCGACACATTCTCAACACTATTTTCTCCATGGGCCTCCCAGATTAAAGAAGTTATGAAATTGAAATCATCAGCTTATAATAAAGTGATAAATTACTGTTAAACAACCGAGAAAATTCATTTTCATTCAATGAAATTAAATCTTACCCAAAATAATTGTAGAACTACGACAGACAACTGCACATGGATTGCAAGAATAAAAGTAGAAAACAGGTTTGGAGAAGGCTGATCACATTAACAAACATCACGATTTATTTTAGTGTTGATGTAAAAAATTCATGGTAGCCAAATTATTTTGACTCTCCTATTGGGGAGGGGGATGATGGCTGAAAAAACTCTCATGAAATTTTTGAGATGTTTACATCATCAAAGAAAACTGAAATTACTCAGATCACAATGAAAATTTTTAGTTTTATTAAAAGCATATAAATATTGAAAATACTAATTAAAATCATTATCATTATTTAGAATTCTATTAGTTACCTGCTGTTACCATCCACATTAAAAAAATTTTCGTTAATTTTGTGTGACATAACAAGAGTAGTGACATTTTCTGCCACATGAGGAGAAAAAGAAACTGAAAACTAAAATTTAAGAAAGTCTCACTCCTTTATTTCAAACATAAAGAGCTTATAAAACACAGATTTTTGAAAATCAAAAGTGCTATTATGAAAAAGTAGTGAATAACTGAACAAAATCCAAGTGATTTTTACATGTGCGCATTGTTTCATAATTCTCTAACATATAATAAAAAGGACATAACAGCATAAAAAATAACATCACATCATTGAAGAATTGTTGAGGAATGGTTTCCTCAAGGAACATTTTAGATAAGGAAACTGTATTTTTCACACCACAACCACAGAATAATTATGACAGCAAAGAGCAGAAATTTCTTACAGATGACAAAATATGTTATAATGATTCCAGTGCATCACAACTACGTTACACTAAAACAAAGCTAGATCATGATGCTAAATTTTTTTTGGCTTAAAATTAAGTACTTCAATAAAGTTTCTTACTCCAGTATCAAAACATAGGGACATCAGATTTTAAAGTAATTAAAATTATATTTCTGTTAGTAACAGCTAAAGAAAATAATTACTGTATACAAAAATTCTTAAAGGTAAACTGTGAAATAAAAATTCTCTATTAAAATCTATAAAACACATATAAAAATTTCAAATGATTTTTATGTACTTTTAAAAGAAAAATTGCCCATATAATAGGAAATATGTTTAACTACATATAAATATTATTCATTCTCAATATTTTGTAATTTTGCTCACTGTTATCAAACTAAGCAAAACCATGTCTACACAATGCTTCACAGGCCATATATCATCATCTACAAAAGACTAAGACAAATGTGGATGGATTTTTTCTTCTTTTGAATTTAAAGCACTCAAAAGTGTTTGGCACAATCTGCACAACTGTAATATATTTTGGTATCTAGGGATTCCACAAAATTTAGAGTAAATTAAAAATTATGCATACATTAATCAGTATTCTTTAGTTCTGTTTCTAGGTCTCGCTTTAAATTTTCAAAAATATTTTATTCTGGAAAGCAATTACTGTATACGGAACAGGTATACAGATTTTATGCATCAGAATAACCAGTTTGAGCTGTGAAACTAAAACATTTACTGGATGCTTAAATTACTGAAGTGATAATGCTTTATACTGTGCTATATATATTATAATCCCCCTTGCAAATGCTGTACATAGTTATTTCTAATCTTTGATACGATTTCTAAATAAACTAAAATCTGCCTTTATTCGAATGGGGAATGCAAAATGGAAGGGAAATTTACACATGCATAATTTCATAAGCTATAAAAACAGGTACAGAATTTTCAGTCTGACTAGAAAAAGGTCAATAAAGCAAATAATGCAGTGAATTTAAAAGGCATTTATGTAATATCATAAAATAGCATCATAAATTTATAGCTTAGAAAAATAATTGAATTAATTGCTTTCAGCTTTAATGCATGTAGAAGTGCTTTAGAAGGCAACACTAAAAATATCTTAATTTTTTTTTCCACCTTGTAGACTTTTTACTCATTTATAAGAATTTACATTATGAGGGATACTGCAAATCTTAATTCACAGCTTCTGAATGCAATAAAATCAAATACTAACAGTTTCTTTACAAAGAACAATACAGAAAAGCATTTAATATCCACTTGCTTAGCAAAAACACTCATTACCTTGAGATACATTAACAGCTGTGGCCTTTCCTCTTTACAAAAAAGAAAATACTCCAGGTTTTAAACACTGAGTGACAAGCAATCCAAAAAATACAAACAAAAACAAATATAATCATAGTATTCCTTTACATATTATTATAAGCATGGTTAAGTTTCCTATCTACCAGTTAATCATAGTATTCCTTTACATATTTATTATAAGCATGGTTAAGTTTCCTATCTAGCAGTTTTTTTTTTGGTTGTTATTATGAGAAACCATGCATGTAATTATATTTATCCATAATCTTAGATTTATTTTGAATTTCTGCTGAAGGAAAATAAGCTTTCCTGAAATGCTTCATTTTTCATAAAGGCCAAATTAAAAAATATACTGTAAATCCAGGTCAACAGTTTCCTTCTATTTTTGATAAACAATACATAAAACTTTCTAAATTTGAGAAAATAGCAACAAAATATAATTTATGCATCGTCCTAATATATCCCCAGAAAAGTGTAATGATGTAAGCAATGTATGCTTATTTAAGTGTTTCAACGATAGAATCTGCGAAGAGACCTCAAAGAGCATACATAAAATCAAAGAACTTCGTCATCAAAGAACAAAGAACATTTTGTTTGAACTTTTTGTCAATGGCTGCAGTTGCAGATAAACCGTTTCAAATGAAAAGCAAGCAATTGCATTAAATGATCTAAATATATTTTTCATTCTTTGAGAAATCTATATACATTATCAGAGTTTTCATGTGATGAAAATGAAAACTACATTTAAATTTATTTATTTATAAATTTATTAAACTCCACATTAATTAAATAAGAATTTTAATCAGACAGTTCTCTGGATAATCAGTCTCCATTTTGCTTGGGAATTAGAGGGGGGGGGAAAAAAGGGAAAAGCAAATTAAAAAAAAAAGTTTTCTTTAAAAAACTTAATTTATTTTTACTTTATTTTGGTTTTAAGCTGTCATTAAAGTGCAAGTAGCATCACTTTTCCGTATAATCCTTTACTGACCTAATAGCATGCAATTTATCCTTTACGACTTTTCTCTTTACTTTATACATGTAAGTTATACAGTTGCACATTATTACAGCTTTTCCTCAAATAAAGTTATATACATTTCTTTATTACATACTGTTTGTTTCATATTGCTATTAAAGCCCCCCCCCAAAATGCAAGTAATATATAGATACCAAAATATATTTCAAAATTTCTTAAGCACCAAAGGACTTGTGTGACTGGATTACCAGTTGCACGTAAATCTAAAATCCTTTTTAAAAGTACATTTGGAATATTTTGGTACTTTCGGAAGTTTAAACATAGCATACATATTAATTTGTAAGCTCCTGCATTGAAACTCTATCCAACAGAAAATTCTTTAGTTTCAATAAACAAAAACATGAATTATTTGCATTTTTTAAACAAAATCAGATGCATCATGTTAGCAGATAGATCAGAAATTGCAAAAACTTGACAGTAATACAGGAATTAATTGGAAATAAAAATTCCATAAAAACTTTGACTTCTTGCAAATATAATTATATTATTATAAAAACAAAAAAAAAAAAAAAATCTATTATGATAAAATGGAAAACTGCATATAATGTAACTAAAATTAATGACTTACTGCAGAAAACACTTTCTCACTTCTCTGAAAAAAAAAATCCTCTTTCCTAACTGTATGCCAAAATGCACCCTTCCTATGAAAAGGAAAATTTATCTAAATCAGGAATTTCCAATCTTTTTTCTTTTCACACTGTCAATTGATTCGTTAACAATGTCCTGAAAATTGTGTACACTTCACGTGATTCAGACAAATAATGCATGAAATTTATTCAGGTGTTTGTACATCAAATGTACATAAAATTTCTGAAACTGATTATATGATCATAACATTTATTAATATAAAAAATAGTTGATTCTTAATTTTAGTCTACCCGCTCAATCCATTATCCCTGTCCATATTTTTCCTGTAATAACTACAAGCATTTTTTCTTTACAATTGAAAGAATGTGTCAGTCTGCCAATCGAAAATTTGATTTTTCAACAATATAAATGAAATTTCCTGCATTCACAATATTATTTGAATTGTATACAAGAGGATTTCTAATAAACTCTTCCAAAAATAGAAAGTATGTATAACTTATTGTAATTTAACAAAAATTAACCTATGAAAGGAAAAAAAGATATCAACAATGCCAACTGAATTTTTTTTTTATTTTGGGTGATTATCCAATTGAAACATGCTAACTGCATTAGGCTCTTATGATTTTCTCCAAATGCAAAATACATCCTACTCAAAACTCCTTCCTCCACCTGCTTTTAAAGAAGATATTTTAATTGTAACTAAATGTTATCTCAATAATAAACCTCAATAATTAACTATATAATTTAAAATTATGCATATACTTCCATAAAAACACTACTAATGATCTTGTATCCCAATATAATTTTGATCCCAATATAATTTTGATATTAGCTACATGAAAGTGTTAAGTGCCTATAAATTACACAAAACATACATTCCTTAGAGTATGGAAAAATAACAAAATAATTTTTTTTAATCAGTTAATAGTTTCATTTACTTCATGATGCCACAGTATGAAGGCAGAATTGAAGTTCATTTCAATAACTAGTTTTAGTAGAAATCCAAGATACAAAAATGGCATTCCATATAAATGCAGATTGTTACAGCAAAATTACTTCATTTACTGCACTAAACCACGAATGTCGTCATCTGCAGCCAACTCACTAATAAATTGTAGATTTTTCTTGAAGTGAGAATAAAACTTCAGGACTTTCAGTATGTAACAATCCCTGCCAATTCCTTCTTTATTACTTAAACTTGAATCCTAGTAGGAAAATTTTTCAAGGCAAAATTTCCTTGTTCTTGAGCAGTGACTGCAATTCTTTTTTTATGTTTTCAGCAATCTTTACAAGATTTCTACATAAAATGGTGACAGTGAAATAGGTACGGAGAGTTCAGCACATGACATTTATTAATATATCATCTGATATTTTACACAAATTGCCGAGGATTTACAAAATTAACCTCCTAGTCTTTCTTCACTACTGAAGAACATTTTAACTTTATTATTACAGTTCAACTTGACATGCTTTGGATGTATTTCTTTCAAAAGTGATTTTATACCTTGCACAACATATGAATCTGGAGGTCTGCATTTAACATGTATTTCTCTGAAAATGTTTGCTTTTTATTTATGCATTTCCAACCTATATTCCAGACAAAGAAGTTTCGGAGATCCTATAAAGTTCTCTCTTGCTCTGATAACTTTTAGGGCAGAGAAATTTAATTTTTTAAAAATACCCAGTGACTTCTAATTATTATATGTACATGTTAGAACAATATCATAAGAACAGCCACAATGAACTTCTTACAGCATAACTAATACTTCATGTCTTTTAATGCTGTATTTTGTACCACATAAGTAAGACATAACATTTTCCATGACATAAAATTTTTATACATTTCATATATTTAATAAAACAGATCTGAAATATATAAGAAACTTCAATATAACAAACTTCTTCAGGTAGTTGCCATGTGCCATCATTTCACTTTTCATCATTTCACCGGTAGCATTTTTATTCGAATCTGCACCAAACTCAAATAAAAAGTGCATTTTTTTCTTACTTTAAATTGACTCTGATAGATCTACTTTTTGTTCACACAACATTACATCATAAGCATCTTAATTTTAGAAAGCATGCAGAATTTTTAAAAAGCAGCTAGAATGTCTAAAGTGTAATAATGAATTTGTAGTGACAAGTTTATTGGCAAAGAAAAATTTTACTGGTTTTGATTGTAAATAAACACATTTATATGAGAAAGGGGAAGATGATGCTCTTTGTTTTTCTCCACTTTCATCCCCCCTTACCTATAATAATGAAGGGGGCAAAACATTCATAGCACTGTCAAATCAAAAGGAATCTGCCCCATAAAAATTTACGATCTAGCACAGTGAAGAAATGTTTAGTCATTACCAGTAAATTACAATATGAATATGAGACTTTTCCTTTAAAAAATTTTTACAAAAGGGCATCCCTTTAAAAAGTTAAAATTATTTATTTCACTACAAAATTTATCAAATCCTACTTTACATAAATAAAACAAAAATCATCTTTGAAATATGATTAGTAGGATATCACTAAATAATATCTGATTGAAAATGATGATTAGACTGAATGCATAGTAAGTCTTAATGCATAAAACTCTAACTCAAGAACAGGAAAACATTTCACTTAGCAGTTCATCAAAGTAGCATATGATAGCCTATGCTATTTTGCATTAAAACTAAAGAACTGATATTTCTGCCATAAGAAAGCACATAAAAATTTCATGTATTATTAGAAACAACCTAAGGAGATAGTATCTTCACTTTATTGCACATTAGCTGTGCAACTAACTATGAAGATGGAAAGTACTTTTGCAAATATTTTAAGTTTTCTTGAAACATTCAAAGAAATTCACTTATTTCAGATTCATTTATCATAGAAAAACTTTTAGGGGCTCTCTGTCACAAGAAATGTGTTTTTCATGGAAGAATTTACAAAGAAAATGGCTCAGCATATTAGTTATCACCAAATACCTGTAGCTAGCATGTTATTTCTTGCACCACCCTACCTACCCCAGGAGCATACTTCACAATACATATTAATTTTACCTTCCAATAAATATCTTTTTTCCTATTATGGTATTTTTAATTCACCAATCGGATTTCTAATATAATGTCCCTAGATTCAGTTGAAAAGGAAACTGCTTTTCTAAACTCTCCAAAGATTCAAATAATTAAAAAAAAGAGAATGAAAACTTTAAGATATTAAAAACGTAAATTAAGATTTCTAGCACGAAAATAAAATAATATATACCATGCCCATCACTTCTAAAGCAAACTAAATTAATATACACAGATTCAAAATAATAAATGTGTTTCCTTTAGATCAGCTGATTTGTTTGGTTAAATGAGATTACAAAATGTATATGGGAATGCTAATATACCTTGATTATACAGTTATCTTTTTACTAAATATCCCCAAAAACATACAAAACAGTAATATCACCACTACTTTTAAAGGAATGCTAAAAAGCATAGAAATGGGAATTACAAAATAGGTTATTTTTTTTAAAAAAAGATCATACTTCACAAAGCTTCCATTTATTCATTAAAATTTTTTTTATCTGTTCTTGCATGCTTATCTAAAATTTACATACTTAATTCCACTAAAAGAAATGTATAACAGGTAACTTCTAATTGTGTGTTTAATTGAAAAAGATCATATTACACAGCTTCATAAAAATTTTAAAAAATAAAAATTCACAAATCAGCACGAAAGAGGACAAGATAGTTAAATGGAATGATCTGTGTGTTTACAATCAATAAATATAGTAGAATTACTCAGACTTGGGTATGTTAAATTGAACATCAAAATTTTTTCTGTCGTGTTCACTTCTGTTTTATTGAATGCTGATTATTATTATAGTAAAAACATTGCATTATTTTAAATAATTCTTTTGAAATCTTCAATAACATAAATGATGATGGCATAATTCTTTCAACACTTTATGCAATGAAATTTGATACGTTCAGGACATTTTTAATCCATCACTCTTTAGAAAGTGTTCTAAATGTTTACAAAATATTTCAAAAATATTTCTCAATGCTAGTAGTAATGGTACCTTTACCAGATAAAGTATGATTTTTATGTCTAGTGAAAATAAATAAGATGAGAAATGAAGCATATTTCTTGAAAATAGCACACAGAACAATGGTGATTGCAAACACACTTTTACTTCTTCCTCCTCTTTTTTTTCCTCATGTGAATATACCTATAGATTTAAAAAAAAAGTATACACCTCAAATGGAATTATATGATTTTGACCCCCAACAATGTACCCACCACATGTCAAGGAATCACATTACTAAAAGGAAACAGCATCATGGTAAATATTCTGGCAATTGATTAAGTTTATTCCTATCTTCTTCACTATCATCCCGAGCAATAAGTAAAGTATGGCCATAACCACAGGCAACAGCATGAATGTGAATACCATCTAATGGTTTCACTTCCTGTGGTGTTGTAGATGATTTTGGTCTGGACTCTCCATAACCCTAAAATGAAGTAAAAAACTTCAGATTTCTAGATAATTACGCTTCAACCTCTTATTAGTCTGAAAAGAAAAAAGAGTGCTTACCAGTTCACCATAAGTAGGACTAGGACCCCATGAAATGACACTTTCATCAGCAATGCAAACTATACTGCAATTTGAACACCCAACATCCCGCACTTGCCAACCAGCAAGATCAGGGACTGGTTTGGGATACATTGTTGCTTCTCCAGCTCTTTTATTTTGGCCCCAAAAAAATAACACATCTAAAAAATAAAAAAATAATTAAAATGTACACTTAGAAAACCCCAGAAGAATTTAATTAATGTTCATAGAAAAAATCACAGAACTCGAATTCTCTTTTGATTCAAAGTTTTAGAACAGTTGAAAACACACCAATTGCCTTTACTTTTTAAACAGCAAAGCAGGTATAAAGTTTATCAGTTATCAAATTTAGTCTAAACCTCAATGCATTCTGTTTATTCTTGTACATGTACCGTAGAACAAAAATGCTTAGCTACATATTTACAAATTCATATGTGATGACGTGTTACTGAATTTAATTAAAAAAATATGAACAAGTTCATTAACTGATAAATTATTGCTATGTAAGCCAATAAACAAATGAGTCACACATTTATTTAACATTAGGTCATTAATTAACTGACATTAGGTCAGGGTTTCTCTCCCTTACAAAAAAACTTTGACTGGTTTAATTAAAATAGGGAATACAGTACGTGTCCAAATGAAAAGGACACTACAGTTATATGTAAAGAAAATTTAATAGCAATATTATAATTACAGTCTCTGTGGAAGAGTACAACTATAATAATTACCACTGACATTGATACATTGTTCACAACGCATATGAAGGGAGTGGATAGCTTCAGTGTAGAAACTTCTGGCATGCTAACAGATCCAGTTTTCATGGCATACTGCACTTCCTTGTCACAGGTGAACCTCTGACCTTCCAGATATTTTTTTTAAGGAGCCAAAGTTATGTGATTCACATGGGGAGATATTGGAGATGTAGAGAGAATGTTGCAGAATGTCCAACTGAAAACTTTCAAGGTTCTTGAGGGTCTTCTTGACTACATGTGGCCTAGTTTTGTCCTGGAGAAGCATTATCCCATTTGAGAGCGTCTCCTGCCCTCATTCTTGATGATCTATTTGAGCCTCAGCAAAGTGTTGCAATACTGCCCTACATTAATTGCTCACCCTGTTGTAGCCAGTCAATGACCAGGGGACCTTCTTTGTTGAAAACAAAACTGAATATCACTTTTTCGACCTTCTGGGCAGAATGGGATTTTTGTTGGACTAGAAGAACCAGGATGCTGCCACTCCATGCTCATTTACTTCGAGTGAAGCTCGAAATGGTGACACCTTGTTTCATCACATGCCGCAATCTTAGCAATGAAACTCATTCCTTGCTCTGCATAACCCAGCAGATGGGTCAAGCAAACACCCATTCTTGCCATCTTCTGATTCGCTGATGGATGCTTGGGTTCCCAACACTGTGCACAAACTTTGTCCTAACCAAGCTCTTTTGGATTATATATGCACAGTGCCTTTGTTTATCAACAGTAATTTCACATGTGGTGATCCAATGATTCTGCCATACAAACTCTTCTACAGCCAAAATCTATAGCACTGTTAGTACGATGTGCACTTGCTCACAGTGTGGCAAGTCCTTAATGCTTACACATCCTCACCTCATAATGCTGACACCACTGGAATACAATGCACAATGTGAGACACAGCTCTTCATACAACTCTTTCATCATGTGATAAATTTGTGAAGGATGCTCCCCTTCTGCATGAAGAAATTGGATAACGGCTCTTTTTGCTAATCTGGAGGAATCAATCATGCAACAAACAGCAGAAACAACTCTCAAGAAATGAAGATATTGATGCAAAACTGTTAACATGCATACGTAACTGGGAACATCCCCATGCCATCTACTGGCTAACACATTTTTTCATTGGAATTTGATACAATGCACTCACTACAGCTAATGTGAGCAAGTACTGCCACCTACATAAACAAAGCAAAGAGTAATGCAAGTAAAAAAATATAAAAACTTATGTGGTTATGCTCTTAAGCAAACCAGAATTTAATGCTAAATTTATCAGGCTCATCTTAGCTTACTTTTTAAATTTTTCTGCTTCTTTTTTATAATTCTGTAAAAATGACAACTCTAGACTGAAGAGATAGGTATACAATATATGTCGAAATCGTGCCTCAACAATGCACCAAATGGCGTTATCTATTTCTACGGTAAAAATCCTCCAGGTAAATACACTGCACTTGGTTCTAGAAGTCTGCCAGAAGCGGTGTAACAGAAAGGTCACAAAAGAGCTAGAACAAGACGCTTACTAATCGCACTTAGGTCATCAGACCTGGACTTACCTAAAGTGACCGCACATGCAGGTGGTCAGCTGTATCACAGAATATGTATTGTTAAAAAGGAAAACTTCTCTGCAACAGGAGTGGCTGCATTCCAACACACACGGAAACATCTGCCGCATTCATGAAATATCTGTCGCCTAAGACAGCATTGAAGGTCATATTTATCAAGAGTTCATATAAAACGAATATCATTTTAAATTTCTTTAAACTTTACTGTAAAGAAAATATATTTTTTTCGCAAGCAATTTAATTAATGGATTAGTTATTTTGAGGGGAAAAAGTATGAAAAATCCTAATTTAAATTAATGTGAAAAGTCAAAGAATGTTTCTTCTTAACATGTGTTCCTCAATTTCCTGTACGCATCGTGGAGGGGAAAACTCTCGCTGCCAGGTTCCGTCGCCACACACCTTGGCAAATTTCCCCTCTGCTTTCCAGTGGTGTAAGAGCAAACTGGTTTACATTACCTTTATGGAACCTTTCCTTCTTTACAGACATTCCTCGGCGGCAAGGAGGTTAGGATACATGGAGATGGTGTCTCTGCTATTACAGTACGAAGAAAGTGAAGCCAGGGGAAGGAAATAAGCCACGCCACGTGAGGGCAAGAAAATGATAACCTTATACTAAGCGAAGTGAGATAAAACGCCAGATGGTTTCAAGTTCTCAGTGTGCTTTCTGATTTTGTATGCATAGATCTGAAAGACCTAAAAGGCACTGAATCGTTACAGCGAAATAATGTCTACATTTCCAACTTCATGTCCATGTTTTAGAACATGCATAAAAAAGTAGAATAATCAAAACGTGTTTGAATGACATTCAAGAAAGAGTTTGATTATTTTCCTTGTGTAAAGTACACGAAGAAAGCTATACAGTTCTCAGATTTACCTTTTCATAATAATAATAAAAGTGATAGTCGTAATTAACTTATATGCGATGGCAAAACGATAAGTAAACAAGGGGAGGGGGAGTGGCAAGCTCTCCATGGAAAAGAAAACAGTTTACTTTAATGTCTGATCATAATTACTTTACAGGTGTGTTACCTTTTATATGTTTAAATACATTTTATTTTGTGCTCAAGTAAATATATAACAAGTGGATTTGATGTTTAGTCACATTTGTTGTGCGAGTTTTAAAATAACAATGTAAAATTTACATATTTCTATCATTTTTTATTCAAATTAAATTTTTTTGAAACATAAGTAATATTTATAACATGAAAAATTTGAGAATTATATACATATATATATAGATGATGTCTCTGCTATTACAGTACAAAGAAAGTGAAGCCAGGGGAAGGAAATAAGCCACGCCACGTGAGGGTAAGAAAATGATAACCTTACTAAGCGAAGTGAGATAAAACACCAGATGGTTTCAAGTTCTCAGTGTGCTTTCTGATTTTGTATGCATAGATCTAAAAGGCCTAAAAGGCACTGAATTGTTGCAGCGAAATAATGTCTACATTTCCAACTTCATGTCCATGTAAAAGAATGTTTTAGAACATGCATAAAAAGTAGAATAATGCATAAAAAAGTAGTAGTAAAGTATAATTAAATTATGGTTTGGGTACATAGTTACCGTTTTGTGTTCACAATATTTTTAACACAATACATTCATTAATTACAGGATGCAATTACATAATATAGAAATTATTGCAACTACAAAATGTAGAAATTATAGCAATTACATGTAGAAATAAAATAAAATGGCGAGAAAGGTAAAGGAAAGAGGGTGTGAACAATCTGCGATCCTTTATGACTACCAGGAACAAAATTGGAAGTGGTTAGAGCATGTCAATCTTTCTAAGCCACGACTACTAAGGGCATGCTTGCCCCCTTTTTTGGCTTCACTCTGACTGCGTGGAGGGCATCTCCATGAGTTCTAACCTCCTTGCTTGGCGGTATCATTTACCTATGCCTACTGGAATGAATGTTGTGATTCCTCTCCTAAAACATACTCAGTCTGTCTGTACATGCTCATCTCATTTGTCTTTTCTTCTGTGAACCAGAAAATAAAACCTGATACTTGGAACAGTGGGTGCAATCTCTGTTTAATGCTGAGACATCACTCCCACATATATATCTCCCTTTCACAGCTGAATGTTTTATAAACGTCTATACTTCTAGTAAAGCTTGGAAAAGTTATGAAATATTGGTACTTGAGTCCACAAATAAGGAAACAGCACTGTAAATCTGAAATCATCAAATTGATGGTTGTTTTTCTAGAGTTAAGACAGTGAGATCTCTCATGGCAACAAGGGTTTCTGTAATTATATAAAGAAACAGAGAGCTTAGATACAGCAACTCCACAGAAAATCAAAATAATCTGAAACTGTGCGTCTGTCTTAGAGACATCTGTGTTTGTCTTACAGAAGTTTTACTGTAGTTCTAGACTACACTATTCTAAAATTCTGTATTGCTTAAACCAACAGAAAAAATTAAAAGTAAAGAGTGATTTTATATTTATATGGCCTTAAGACAACAAATATTCAAGATAACTGGCTTTCCACTGCACTCAGAAAAATCTCCTAAAATATGAGGAAAAGACTATCACATAAAAACTTCTATTGTGGTTCATGACCGAATTTCAGAAAAACAACAAAATACTTACCAAGCTCGTTGACAGCCATGCTATAAGTGCCACCTGCAAACACCTTTTTCACTCCTCTGTTTGGCCCATCAAAAGATTTAATTAATCTTGGCACCATTTCGTCTTTCTGTTCTGCATGACCAAGTCTTCCATAGCCTCCAAAACCCCAAGAAAAGCAACGCTTTTTTGTATCTACTGCCACCTACATAAATACAAAGCACAACTTAAATTTTATATAATAACAAACAGGACTTTTTAAATTAGACCTTTCAGTCAAAATGATTCCTTACACTGTGATTTATTCCACATGCTACACTAACTATTTGCACATCATCAACTAACGTCACATGGCCTTCCCTTGTCTTTTCTATGTATGCTATAATACGCCGAGGTGCCAATTCACATCTAAATGACAGCTTGTTGCTAGTTACAAAGTATCTGCCATCTGAATTGTGACCTAAAATTAAATACATCAACATTTACAATAGATTTACATAAATTGAAGAGGTTACTTTCTCCTACGTGAAGTTACATGTCCTTATTGTTATGAATTAGAATAATTGTAATTATTGATTAAAGGATGGCCTAGAAATTATTCCATGAAATTTATGTGGCAAAATGTACTCCAGAATCAGATACCTTACGATATCCAAAACTGGAGATTGCTTATGATGTCATATTGCTCATTAATGACAATTGCTTCCACACATTCACCTACAATATTGTATAAACATGTTCATTAAACTGTCATTGTAAATACAGCAGATCTATTATATAATATCCTGGCTGTATAAACATTTGAGCTCATCTGATTTTAGGCTTAAGAATTTTGCTTTCCATTCCACATCATTTGATCGCACTTAAAACATTTTTTGTGCAATTATTAAAACCAATGGTTGATTTAAATTTTTTTCTTTAATTACTAATGCATCCAATATATATTAATAGCTGCTGGATTACTCATAAGTGAACAAATATTAGTATTCGAGTTTTGGCCAAACTATTTTTTAAAAAAAAGCTTAATGTACATGCAAAGTAAGTTTTCAAAATTGTATATAACAGCTCTTACACAGGTTTATGCTTTAACATAAAAATTAATAAGGGGAAAAAATATAACATTACCTAGTTGTCCATATTCAGGACATCCAAAACTGTGCATTCCACCCCTCACATCAACAATTACACTAAACTCTGCACCACAAGCAACTTTGGTAATAGATCTGCCCTTAAATGCAATCTAAGGAAATTGATTTTATTTATAGCATTAGAAAAGAGGTAATAAGAGCAAATAGAAGCACTAATAAAATAGTACCTGTACATTAAAAATTATTTAAATTATAGACTAAAATGATACAAAGCAAACAAAAAAGTTATGACTTATGGCTTAAATTCACAGCAAGTAACCAGAATAATAAATGTAGTAAAACTATAGGAAATTTTTCTTTCATTTTACAAATCATGAGTGTAACTGGCATCCTTATGCTTAAAAAACTTAAAGGAGAAATTTTACCTAGCTGCCTCATTTGCATGTTGATTTATTAGCAATTAAATATAGCCAATTAAAATCCAATCTATATTACAAAATAAAAATTATATGGTCCACCAGCAGATAATCTTAGGTTGCTAGACTTCTGGAAACCTGCTGTTTGCATCAAATTTACTAATATTAGCTACTGCTATTTCTCAAAAGTTAACCCCTTCGATTCCGACTGTCACGCCTACGTGCCAGCAACGAACACACCCACTTCCCGGCCGCCACGCATGCATGCCAGAGGGTTTTCCCGTTCAGCCCCGACTGTCAGGTATTTGTGCCAGTGTCCTGGAATGTTTTAAAAACGATAATTTCTGCCACAAGATGGCACTGTATGTCTATATGGTTTCAAATACATGTACATTAGACCTTCTACTCGAAATGAGAGAAGCATGACTCACATACATGTGTTTGATCATATAAACAAAAGGGGAAATAAATGTTTTCGAATGGCGTGATTTATGACGTCTCCAAATTCGCACGTGGTAGTTGTTTATTGTAAGTAGAGAAGTTTTAATTTCGCTAAAGCATTGGGTATTTCGGTTTGCAGTTCAGTTTTTAGAAAATAATTAGATCTTGCTAGACTGAATTCTTTCTGTTTTCACCGTTGCAATGTCGAAGCTTCGAAAATGTTTTAACAGAGCATGAAATAACAGAAATGATGCAAAATATTTCAGATATTGAATCTGAAAGATTAACTGAAAGACATTTTCCAAAACTTTGTTCAGAAGAGACTGATAAGAAAATGAGACGATGATGCTTTGTTTGTTCACATTCCGGGAAAAATCCTCCAAAACGGCAAATGAGTTATTACGAGTGCAAGGAATGTAACGTAGGATTGTGTGTAGATCCCTGTTTTCAAATTTTTCATACAAAAAGAGAATTTTAAGTAATATATTTAGTTTTCAGATGTATAATGTTAAAAGACATAAAATGGTGAGTAATCAAAATAAAATGTGTGAATATGCATTTAAACAAGAAATAAGGTAGTTAAAGTATATATAAAAATATCTATAAAGCATAAGCCATTTAAATACTCCATAGAGCATTATTAAACAATGCGTTGATACTTCAGAAATTTCATGGATTTAGGCTTCATAGCAAAAAAGCCCCAGGCCCTGGACAGACGTTCGCGTAAGACACTGCCGGCCTCCGCGATAAGCGCGTAAGGGGTTAAAAATCATTAATTAAGAGCACATTTCTAAACTGACTGCCAACTGTTAACTTTAAATTCACATTGCATTAATGTTGAGAAGTATGGCTTACTTTTTACTTATTTTACATTCAATTCGTCATTTCAGACTTTCTTGAATTACTATCAGAACACACACTAAAGGTTTGCTAATTTTTAAGTCATACAGGACAGTCTTAAAAAGTTCCCTGATTTATGAACTCTTAGCAGTCCATCCACTCAAACAATCAAAATTAAATTTCAGATATTATTTGAAAGCATGTGCTCAAAATTGTAACGTTTTAAAACAGTACAACTGTAACAGTTCGGATCACAGAGAAAAACGTTCAAAATTTTTAAATGGTGACACCCAATTTTTTTAACAATTTTTTACGATTACCCTGCATTTTTTTCATAAAATAACAAAGAAAGCTTAAAGTGAATACAAAGACTTATCATATACACAGTTTTTAAGTACACAGCAATCTGTTTTTACTTAAAAAAAATTAGAGAATTGCAGAGACCCCACATTGTGGAAACCTAAGCAACAATGGCTATATACCAAATACTTCTATGAGCTGTTCCATTTAGAAATTTTGTGGCAAAATTCTGTATTCCTGCAGAAATTTTACTCGTTTCTTTCATTGCTGGCCAAATTTCGCAAACCCATACCTTAAAACTAGGTTTAACGGAAAAATATCATGATAGTTTTGAAAAAACCTCTGAAACTTGGTGCTGAATGGTGACAGTTTCACAATTGATGGGATAATACATAAATGCATTATAAAATTCATGTATTCTGCACAGCACCTTCATTATCCCTTCATTATTATACAATTAATAAAATTACAGTAAACATTTCTAAAATATAAACAGATGGATAATTTAAATTGCACTCGTAATTTATAATTTCCTATATCTTAAAACTATATTTAGAAAAATTATGCTATCTACATTTGACAAATGAGTTATACCTTTGTTGGTACATTTATAGTAGTATTTTGAGATCCCACGCCACATTGGCCCATCTTGTTGTCACCACATGAGTAGACAATGCCTCGTTCTGGAAGAAAAGCAACAGTTTTAACAATAGCCATATCACATAATTTTGAACATCACATGCACAAATTGCTACATATTTAATCTTTCTGCTTACAAAGTAGTATATTAATATCTAGTTGTAAGGAAAGTTTTCCTTTGGTTTTTGCAGGCCTCCTGCAAGTTGAGATATGCTTACGGCTCTTTAAATGTGCACATGACATTCATTGATGAAGGTTATGGAGTTTTTTTTTTTTTTTTTTGCTACAGCATCGGGTGTCCCTTTAAATGTGCAAGTGGCATTTATCAATAAATGTTTAGGGAGTCTAAAAACTACAGCATTGGGTATTTAGGTTTGCAGGCCATGTTTGAAATCAAGAGCTGCACCTTATGTGATAAGGTCCTGTTTTGAGTGTTGAAGAACAGAAACTTTTTAACAAATTATGTGAATCTAAATTAGGTTATATCTACAACTTTACAAGTAATAAAGGAAAATAAACTTCAGGATCATATGGGGAAAGCGATGCTAAATCTAACTGAAGAACTTTCTGGTCAAGGGTACTATTTTATATATTGATAAACTTTCATGCCTCCGTCACTGGCAGATGAACTCTTTAAACTTGAAACGAATACTTGTGGAACTTTAATCAAGAGAACAAAAGGAATGACTGAAAATTTTTCACCGCCCAAAATAAAAATTGCTGAGATGTTAGTTTTGCAGAAAAAAGAACCTAAACTTAACTGCTTTCAGAAATGAATGTCAAGTACTAACTATTTCAATGATGCATATAAACATAAAAGATTAGATAACAGGTAATCCTATTATGAAGCCAGTGTGCAACACACAGTAAAATAAGAATAGGGGAGGGATAGACAAGTGATGCCTTAATAATACAGTACAGTCAAAAGTCTTTAATCCAGACTCGTCGGGACTTCGGTGATTCCGGATTATAGATCATCAGTTTAAATCTGGAGATGGCATGCAGAAATTATAAAATTAAAAATATGAAACCGTAATTTATAAAATAATGAGCAATTATGATCTAAAGGGTATCAAAATTTACACACACACACACACACACACAAAAAAAAAGCTTAATATTTATTTGTTTACTTTATTAAACATTTCTTTCAACACGCGCATGCACATACATTATGCATAGCCGAAATTAGAAAATTGCAACCAGAAAACTATTTGATTTGTATTCGTGATATTTATAATGATGAGGAATTTGATTTAAATCATATCAAAGACGGAGTACATCGAGATGAAATACTACATTTAATAAGGAATTATAAGCCGAATAAAATAAAAACATCTGCCCTGAAGATAACGATAGTGCTGACAGATCAACTTCCAGTTCATTGCGCGCCGCGACGTTTCCCCCCCCTCCCGCAGAGCAGCGTGAAATTCATAAACACATTTTGGAATGGTTAGAGAAACAAAGGATATGCCTTTATCGATTTTTTGCAGCAATTCCACTTTTTGTTTGATGGACATCGAAACATGCTTTCGCTTTGTATATCCTTTGGCAGCTCCAGAATCGGAAATTCTTTTTTGACATAATCGAAAGTTCAAGCTTACTTTTATAAAATTGCTCTAACAGTCTGCAAAAAATAATAAGCTGGATCCAATTAGAAGGTTAAGGAACAACGCAATCTGAAACATTAACTGAAATAGATAATTAGATAATTTTAGCTTAGCTTATACCATCCGTTATACATTAAACACACATGCGTAAACGTATTATGCGCATGCGTAAATGCATACGCGAATGCGTAAAGGTATTATGTGCATGCTTAAATGCATATGCGAATATATATATATATAATGAAAGCACAAATTGGAAGTTAGTTCCACGCACTTTTTCTGAAGAACTTGCAAAATGAAGTAAAGACCATATTTGAATACTTGATGATATCTAACTTTAAGAACGATGAACTTGCAGATACTTTTCTCACTGGAGTTCTAGGCAGCAGGTACATGAATCCTGTCCGGCTAAAAAAAGGTCATGATATAAAATGAATGATTTGGAGCTTGGCGATGGCGTAATAGATGAGCAGCGAAGAAACTTAGCAAACATGTCAGGATTTCTTGATAGAAATAAACTTAGTGCAAGTGGGTCATGTTAAAGAAATTTGACTTTTATCACATTATGTATTGAGAGGACACAGCAACAGTTTTATTGTACCACAGTAAACAAGCTAACTACCATCAACAGTCGCAGCACTTTTATGCCATGGAGCCACTACACAAGCAGGATTTTATGTGCTTTATTAAATCATAACATTGTTTTATCACTTTTATGACAGGCTAGTATAACGCAGTAGTTAAACATAAGAGGCTTACTTACAGGTATTTCAAAGCTGAAACTTAAAAACATGAGTTTATCCTGAATGTACTGTTGTGTCTTCTCTTTATATAGCCACAGTTAAAAATAACAAGACATTTTGGTGTTCACAGAATGACAAAATGACCAAATTCTTCCTAACAAGCTACCATTTTTTCATCCATCTACTCCAATATACAACAGCCATTAATATTGTGGAAATTCTAACTGAGTAAGATTATGAGCTGAGTAAGATGAGAGCTGAACGATAACAAGGACAGACATGTAGAAAATGTTTTGACAATGATTCCTTTTACTTTTCTTTTAATTTTAATGTGAATAAATAAACTATTCTATGCCATTATCTACATAATTTTGGTATCAGAAGTGGGATAGAATTCTTGAAGATTAATAACTGAATTCTATGTAGGATTACATATTTAAGAACTTCAAAGATAGAAGTTATGTAGATTTTATTTTCATATTTGACAATGATTCCAAGTGGAATAAAACAAATCAATGTTGCATTGAAGAACTGCAAAACAGACAAAATTAGAATTTTACATTGATTTATTTTCAATGCAGACGGTGATAGGTCAAAACAGAAACATTTCTGGCTTTTACTTTGCTTCAGATAGTGATGAATTTCAAAACAAATTAAAACATATAGAAGAAAGCTTTTCATTTAATGAGTTAGTCACAATTTCTAATATTTTAAGTATTTTATGAAATGGCAATAAATCAGAAACAGCAAAAATAATTTTATCTTTATTATGTGATATTGAAACACTAGGTGAAAATATAACCGGTGCCGAAACGTCTAGCTCCCATTAATTGGAAATAGAAGTTTTAATAAATAAAAGAAGTGAAAATGATTTTTCAATGTAGTGCAAATTTTTTTTTATTAGAAAAGTAACACTGATTCTTTTATACAGTGTGATTGTGCTTGCAAAAATGAAACTACTGGAAATTCTATAATGCAGAGTGTTAACATTATTCTGACATCGAAAGTTCTTTTACGAAGTTTAATGCAGAATCACATGAAAATGTTGTTTAATGGGTTGAACATTTTGAGAAAACTTCTACATTATTTAATTTGTTAGATTTACAAAAATGTGTCTTTGCTAAATGATCGCCTGGTGGGAACGCAGCATTATTTGTTTGAATAGAACTGGAACTCAATTTAAGAAAAGCTTTAATTGATGAATTCTCTTTTGAAATAAATTCTGTTATTACATGATCTATTAAGTCACAGGAAAATGAAAAATACTGAATCAGCTCAAGAATATTTCTTAAAAATGAAAGTATGTAATCTTGGGAAAATAGATGATGCTGTCTTCATACATTATTATACAAGGAATAAATAATAGGCATGAAAACAAAATCCTACTGTACGGATGTAAAAACTTAATTGAATTTAAAGAAAAACTCAATGTATACGAAGTAATGAAGAATGGTTTTGCAAAAAGTAAAGGTACTTTCGATAGAACGAAAACAAAACATGATTATAATGATAAAACTAACTTAAAACCGAAAATGTGAATAAAAGTAAATTGAAGAAAGATGGTAAATCTGATATGAAATATACTGGAAGTCTTAACAATAAAATTTGTTTTAATTGGGGTTTAAAAAATCCTATTTCTAAAAACTGTATTCATAAAGATAAGGGAATTAAATGAAGTTTTCGAACATAAAGCTTCAGAATGTCCAAAAACAAATTTGAAAACAGAAGTAACCACTTTGTTAATGTTGAATCGAAGTTGAACAAAATGATAATGATTGGTAATTTAACGGTAAAATCATTAACAGACGCTGGTGGTCAAGCGACATTGCTTAGAACATCTGTTTTCGATAAACTAAATGTTGAAGAATTACGTCCTTCGAATTCTTTGATTGGGTTTGGAAAATGCTGAGTACAACCATTAGGCTGTTTTTAAGAAAGTATTCAAGTTCACAATTGTAATTGTAATGCTGACATTTGTGTAGAGGAAAATTATAGCTTGTGACATCATTGTAGGACTTAATATGTTAATGCAGGGTGAAACTCTAATAAATGAAAATGAAGTTACGATTAGAAATAGATCCCAGTGCATAAAAGAAATAAATACTTTAGTTATTCTTCCAGTTGATTTAATTTGTGATGAAACTGAAGTAAATATTGAATTTGATGTTCCAAATATGTTTGGAGATAAAAGTGCAACGATTAGTTTCGAAATATGTACCATGTAAAACTAAAACAAGACACAGAAATGAACATTTCGGTAAAAAATAATGAATCTATATTTCATCAGCCTCGTAGGTTGACATTTTCAGAAAAAAGAATTGTTGAAGCTCAAGTAGCTGAATGGTTAGAACAAGGAGTAGTAGAACCTAGTTCTCAGAATACTGCAGCCCAGTTGTAATCGTTAAAAAGACGGAACATCTCGTTTATGTATTGATTATAGGAGATTGAATAAAATAATAGTAAAGGACAGGTTTCCACTTCCATTAATTGAAGATATTCTAGATCAGTTGCAGGGACCACATGTGTTTCAGTACACGATGACGTAAACAAGGAGAGTAGGAAGTATACTTCATTTGCCATACACGAAGGTCAACACCAATTTCTCAAGGTTCCTTTTGGACTATGCAATTCTCCGGCTGTATTTCAGAGGTACATCAACACCATTTTCTGACCTTTAGTTAATGATGGTAT